TTTTTTAAAATCCTGTATCCGCCCCTACATGGAGACCTTTGTAAATACATATGTCATGACGTCCTAGGTATGCTAGATTTCAAACGCTAAGCAATTTTGCGCATTTTTGTAGTAGTCCGAATATATACGACATGATATAGTTCATTGTCAGCCCTGTGACTGCGAAGTTATAAAATTATGCAATGGTTTTGGGTAGAAACTAATTCAAAACAGAAGATTTTTGTGAGAAATCTACATTAACGCTAAATGTACCAAAGGAATCTGCAGAAAGCATACGGACGTGTTCCATTTTAACAAAAAACATTTTCACATCTTTTAATGTGTTTATTCTCAGTCTAAATGCGGTTGCCTGTAGGAGGTTTTAAGAAACAAGTAAAAAACAATTKATTTAAATTTGCTATATGTAAAACTGGGATGATAGTTAATTTGATGACTTTTACTTGATAGGAGTTTTTCCAAACAAGCAACGAGTCTCATTATCATGATGTTGGAATAATTCATCGTGTGGCTCAAAATGTAGATATTTCTGTTCCTATGAAACAAAAGAGCAACCATCCATATACATCATATGTTTGCATTACTTTGGAGCTTTTTGGGTATGCAAGTAAGTTATATTTTAAAATGGAAATCAGCTGTTTTGATAGTCTTATTGTGTCAATTTAGAACAATCTTCACATACGGAAAGACCTATTTTACCGTCGTTGTAATGAATTATTTCAACGATACAGCGGCCATCTTGCCAGGGGACAAAACAATACGTCTCGTTTTGATGCTACGCTTATTGAAATGCCGCTGGTTTGTCGGAGTGACTTGCTCAACTACGATAAATGCTATTAATGATCTTAATTCAAGCAGCCAGTTGTTAATTACCTGTTTGCCAGAGGTTTACAATTTTATATGTAGTCGACAAATAGTAAAAAATGTTTCCATTATTATTATTATTATTATTATTGTTGTTGTTGTTGTTGTTGTTATTATTATAAAACGTGGACTTCTCCCTCAATAACGCTACCGCCCGCATAACCTTATTTTTTATAAAATAGGCTTTATCAATTTTTTAATATATGTATGTAAATATAAGAGCGATATTTATCTCCTCTCATTTTAATCTTTAACTTTATTTAGCAATTATTCTTTTGTTATTTTATTATTATTATTATTATTATTATCATTATTATTAAATATCGATCTGCTAACATCTTAGCGAGCGAGTGTTTGAGTGAGTGGGTGAGTGAGTGGGTGAGTGAGTGGGTGAGTGAGTGCATGTGAGTGAGTGGGTGACTGAGTGACTGAGTGAAACATTTGCATATGCATGTCCCTCACAATGACAATCCGGCCGCGAGTTAATGCATTTATGAACCCAAGTTTCTATGATATATACTATTATGTGATTTCTAATTCTATTTCAGACATTCGCAAAAACGATGCTAACTTTCAGTTTGATTATCGAGAGCTACGAATAAGAGGTAACTTATATTTCACGGCAAATCCTGAAGACTGAATAATTCTAGATTAGCACATAAGAAAACGATAATTATAAATGGTACCTCAAAAACCTGTCGAATTTCCAGATGTGGCTAGCAATGACTTTTCTTTTAGATTTTTTGTATTTAGCATTTGAAAACCCGGTGAACTCGTGTCTGCCATTTAACAATTATTCGCCGAAGGCRAAGTGATTATCGGGGAATATTTACCGAGACGCGAGTCTTCGAGCGGCGAGGTAAATATTCCCCAATAATCACTGAGCCTGAGGCAAATAATTGTTTTAGTATAAATACACAGGTAATTCTTTCAAAAAAAGAAAAGAAAAAAAAAAGAAGAAGATAAAAGGCATTCTTTTCCCGGTAACAGCAACAAAGCGGCTGCCCGCCATTTTGGATTTTCGCTCGAGGTGATTATCGTGTAATAGTGTGAGTTTCTTGACCAAATCAGCGCGCGAGATTTTCTATAATCACCTGCGTATTTTTACTAAATTGAAATATTTGAAACACATAAAGCCTGGTCAAAATTTCTTTCTTCCCTAGTGATTCCCTAGCGCACAACTGATCGATTCGYGCACAACTGATTCGAAAGCGCAAGTGCATTACCTAGAATGGTAATAGCAATAATAAAATTAACGAATGCGTATCTCAATGAGGTGTACATTTGACGCTTTTTATTAGGGAATCAATGTGCTGGTATGTGGACCGACTGCCCTGAAAATGCAGAATGCATCAATCCAACACTGTTTGTAAACTATCAGTGCAAGTGTAAAGATGGCTTTCGGAGCACCACGGGGGATGTCATATTTAACCCAGGCCTTCAAATCTCATGTTACGGTACGTTCTTAGAAAGGGAAAACCTTCATAGCACTTAGTTGATGTAATGTATTAAGAATATCTTTTGTACACAATTGTCGCTCTATCTATTGTAGTAGGTGGGATTCACTGTATTTTTATGAATACGTAGGCTCTCCCTTCTCAGGACAGGGCAGAACGAGTATGCGCAAGCGTAAAGCTTGGCACAGAATGTAGCCCCGCCACTCTAAAGTTAATAATGAATTTCCTATGTTCGCGCTCCCCCCCCCGGCATACCATAATTTGCGATGGCCACCGTACAGATTAAAGGTCTGGTATACTAACTATTGCAGATAACACAGTTTTGCATGAGTAACTGTCAGCAAGATCAACAAAGCCTAATTTTCTAATATTATTTCTAAAACTCTTAAATAGACATGCATGCGCATTACGTTTTTCTGCCCTGTCTGTTCTTGGTCGCTTCACCAACCTACGAAACCGCGAAGCACTTTTTAAGCGCAGCGCCTCTAAAGGCTGGTTTACGATAGCAACGGAATCGAAAGCAGAATTCTGAGGTGGAGTCGTAAGAACCAAGAATCGGAGTCGGAATCGGAAGCGGAAAGGCGACGGAAGAGGAGTCGGAAGGATCAGAAGGGTTTTTTTTTCTTCCGACTCCGATTCCGGTTATGACGTTTATGATCATTAGTGTAAACCAAAGAATCGGAATCGGAAGCTTTGACCAATGACAGAGCTTAAGCTCAGGCCATTCAGAGCAGAAAACATGGCAGCCTCCTTGAAAGAAAACCTGGTAATATGGGAACAACAAAGAAGCAAGCGCCGAAGCGAGGATAACGATTCCGCTCGAGTTTTCATTCACRCTAGATCGTAAGCTTATAGCGCTACCGATTCCGATTCCGGCTCCTCTGTTTACGACGCTAGTGTGAACCAGCCTTAACAGCACATGTAATTCCAATATAATCTGTGAGTTTGCCACGACTTTACGTAGAACATCTCATATAGGTTGTTGAGGCTCATTTTATGCATTTTACTTTTCTTATTTATAGAGCATCAACCACGTGATAGTATACTATTGTGGAGAAACTACACGTACTATTCGGTCTTTATACCAGCGACCTCAGCTTGGTCAGAAAATGGTCAGATTAAAGTGAGCAAAAATATGTATTTAACACAAACACTTTTCGTTCCTGAAAAACACGTGGTCATAAACAGACCACCAATCCTAGAAAAGTTATCCCCAGGGACCAAAGTACTCGCTCCGATTTCCAAAGGTAGATACAACAAGCCGGTGTATGCCGATACGACTATTCAAGCAATATATTCTTCAGGAAAAATCGAAGTTAATCCACCAAGTAAGTAATAATTTGTCTGGTTTCTATCAAATACCAAAAACCACTTTTGTGTCTAGAAAGACCCAAAACATTATGCTTGCAATAATGGCGGAATAATAGCGGAGTAATAGCGGAGCTCCCGTGACCATAGCACCATAGCAAGAATTTGAATCATAGAAAACGAGAACGGGTAGTCTAATTGTTCTAGCATAAACCTACTAGCTAATATTATAGCATTGAAAACAAAGAATGACACTAAAAACTTTACTGAACAAATCGACGGTCAACCGGCGGCACCGGTTTTCATTCATCTTTGCGAACTCGCCTATCTGAACATATGAGTCAATAGTCCAATAGTCCATATAATCTGAACATATAAGCTTAAACTCCAAGTACGAGTCTCATGGACTATTGACTCATAGCCTATTCGGGTTCGAGGACTAATTGCTAAATACCCTCCGACGAAGTTTAACATTAAGAAAATTATGAATTTGTGTATGCGTGTTTTTTTTATTTCAGGTTGTGACGGAGCTGAAAGGCCCCCTCCTTTGGGAATCCTGAACGATGCTGTATACCACCGCTTTGATAAATTTAGCTTTTCAAGTGTTGATTTTAAGATGCTTGAAAGCCTTGATAGAATGAATAGAGATCATGTTTGGTGCAGTCGCAATTTTAAGAATTTGTTACAGTATTATTCGAAGCACGAAACCACTGATTGGATTCAACTTGAAATGCCATCGCCTTTTCTATTTTGCGGATTCGGCGTAAAAGGAATTTCCGGAGATACCTTTCCAGCAGTTTTTTCTTTGACCATTGATGGAACACACTACGCAGTAAGTTGTTAAAAAAGTATTTTAAGGGAAAAACCTTCATAATAATAAATAATAACAAAAATTAATAATAAATAGGATTTAGCAGTGGCATTTCCACAGAGTGGCTCTTCATCCACTGTAATTCCAATTGGAATTTAGAAGTTGATTTTTGCGGAGGGAGGAAAGCCGGAAAACCCGGAAAACCCTCGAAGCACAGGAGAGAACCAACAAACTACTCTACTCACATACGACACCGAACACGGTGGGACTCGAACCCGGGTCGCATTGGTCAGAGGCACACCGCTACGCCACCCGTGCTTCGTTCATGGTTTATGGGTACCGTGAAGCACCTCCTCGCCTGATCTACGTCAGGGCACAGTTTATTTACATATCGAATTTTAATTTAGCTTGTAAAAATTGGAATCAAGGGAGAGACTCCATGAGGTTCCAAATGWTTTTTTTTGTACTACTAACATTTAACTACTAAACTTTAAGGATTATCGTAAACCCACCGAGGATTTCGTGTACCATCAGATCCGCAATCACCGTACAGTACAAACCATTCGGATAGATGTGACGCATCCAAATCAAATTTGTATGGACTTTGAACTATTTGGGTATAGAAGTAAGTCGCTGAAAGTTGTTGTATTTCTATTATCTGCTAGTCAAATAAAACTTCCGCCCCACGATCCCTAAGAAAGGGTGGGGAATTGACGCGGCGAGACCAGGGCTTTAACGCGCATTTAACGCTTCGAAAGTTTAACAGTTTTAACAGTTTTAACAGCGACAACTTTTATAAAATTAACAGAAACTGTTTCCCCGGATACCGGAGGATAGTGCTAAATCTTAACTCTACATGAATTTCAAATTCCCCGTCCTATCCCGGATTTTGTGGGGTTGGCGCTTTCAATGTACAAGTGCATTAGGCTGATTGTCTATTTTTACAAATAAAAAAAAGCTAAAATTGCACTTTTTCATTTAGACTTACGACATGAACCGCCGAACAAGTTGGTTTTTGACAATCATGAACTACGTTTGAGAGGTAGGAAGTTTTGCACCATCACGTGATGGAAGCCATGAAGCGAACTGTTCAACTTGTTTTTACCGTTTTTGTTTTTTTTTTTGTTGTTTTTTTTGGAAGCCATAAAGGCTACAATTACAAAAAATCAGTATATGCAAATAAAGGCAGAAATTGTCAAGAAAGCCACTGAATGCAAAGACGCAAAGAAAAAAAAAAAAAAAAAAAAAAAGTAAAGAAATTTAGGCAAGCATAACTATTAAGAATTCAGATAAACTCCAGTGCACAGACCTTACAAAATATCCCAGAATCAATTGCCAGTGTATCACTTGCATACACTTGCACGTTTGAAGCTTTACAGCATTAAGTACCTTGTATTCAATCAACATTATTTTCCCCCTTTTYCTAAGGCGGCCCATGCTCTGGCATGCAGAACGACTGTCCTGAAAACTCTGAATGTACCAATCCAGTTCTTTTGGATTATGGATGCAAGTGTAATGATGGCTTTCAGAGCTCAACTGGAGATGTTATATTTAACAAAGGACTTAATATCACATGTCAAGGTATCTTTGTAATGTAATAATTTGTAATTATATACATATATATATATATATATATAACTTAAAAAATGATCACATTTATTTCAAAAAAGATTCCGTCAAAAAACAAAACATCAACAATTGTTAAYCAGTAATTAATGATTCTTACGAGTGGAATAAAACGTCTATAATATATTTTWAAAAAATGATCACCCACTCGACCAATCCGTGTTCAGTAATCTACATTTTATTCAGGGCTCTATATCCCCTAAGGCCCCGTCCACACGTATCCGGAAATKTTTGTATCCGCAAATTATTCGAATCGTTTTCACCGTCCACACGTATCCGTTTCCGTAAAATTTCCGGATACGGATACAAAAATTTGCGGACACGTAAGGCGTCAAGTAGTGGGGGCCTTGAAGCACAGCCAATAGGGGGTTATTCATTAATATTCTCTAAGTAATTCATTAGTATTCTCTATATAGATATAATATATAGAGATTATTTAATGGACAGTGCGAAGTACGGGATTTTATTCACGAGTAGTTTGCATCGTAGAACGAATGAGCGAGTGAGTTCTACGATATAAATGACGAGTGAATAATCCCGTACAAAGCACTTTCCATCTCATAATCAGTTTATTACACGTATCATGAGAATATTGATGAAATATTTTTAACATTGATGCAAATTAATAATAGTGAATTATTGAATATTYATAGAAAACGTCAATGTACATCAACTCTCTCAAATAAAGTCTAGGATAAAATAACGTTTAGGATTTTCTAAACACTAAAGCATCTAAAACTCTAGCAAAAGTCGTAAAAACAATAACAACTTAGTGAATAGTACATTATTCATTCTGATTCAGTTGTTGTGCGATTCAATGACAAAGCAACGACGAGGTTTCTTGTTGGAGAATCAGTTAACAATGAAAAGTCGGAATTTGGTTCAAGGCATTGACATAGATGTTAAGTGTTCCTTCTTGAATTAATGCACCTTGAAAAAAAGTTAAGGGCTGCTGTAATGTTGACTCTTGGACTGTTTTAGTTACCTTAAGAGTCAAAGGATAGAAATACTTGCTTGATAACTCGAAATATGGCCCAGGGTAGCTTAGAATATCCGAGATACTTCTCTGTTGTCGTTCCGACAGGCTGCTCCAGTAATTTAAACATATTATTACGTTCTTATTATTTTTTCAGCAATGAGACATCTTTGTCTTGCTAAGTGTATTTTTTGTTATCTTGGTGATTTATAAATTCTTCTAAAGAACCATCAGCGGAGACAAATCTAGAGGAGCCTTTCCTCGCTTCAGCCATTTTTTTAACTCGGAATCTGGAAAGCTATTTAAGGTGCTAAAGATGCACACAACTCTTATTTTAAGTTGTTGCTGATTGGTTATACTTTCACATCTGAGAAAAGCTGTACGCCATGATTCTGATTGGACGTATCGCTTTCTTTCAGATGTGAAAATACAGTATAGCGTATTCATTTCTACAAATGAGCTTTACGCAATGAAATTTTCAAGAACCGTGTAATAAAGAGAATATATTAGCTAACCCTTATACATATAGACTTCAACCGAGCGAATTTTTAGAATTCAACCTGAAATGTTTCTAAAAAGAAGTTGAAAAATTCCACAAGGCTTGTTAAGTATTTTAAGCTTTATAAATTTTACCTCTTTTTAACTTTTGCTCTTGCATGTATTTGTTTTCCAGATGTGGATGAGTGTCTCTTAAAGCCATGTAGTGGTGTACATGCAGCGTGTGCTAATACCATTGGAGGCTACTCCTGCGCATGTGTAGAAGGCTGGCAAGGAAAACAATGCGATCAAGGTAAATATCAGTATTCAAATATCATATCTGATCAAAGAATATCATTTGAACATTTGAACATTTTATTGATTCACACACACATAAATATATACAAGTATTCACAGGAGTAATATTAATGAATAATGAAAAGAAAGTTGAAACTAAATTAATTATAAGAGAAAGAGCTAATTTATGGTGTGTGGTTGTCGAAGTAGTTAAAACTTTCGAGTCGACAACCACCCATTGTAAGGTTAACTTTTTATGACCAAGATTATAGCTAACTATATTTACACAAGATCGGAGATCTTAAGCTTTAAACTAAATTGTTTTGAACAATAAATATAGATATAAGTATAATGGGATATGTTAATGAATAGTTTAAATTTGGTATGCAAAGAATATCATATCTGATCTATGACCGTACCGGTTTTCTTACAACCCATAAAGTATTTCATCTTGGCTCATTTCCATCAAATTTGAGGGGCATTTTGCATTAACCCAATAGTTTTCATGTACAACGAAGGATAAAGACAAGCTAGTGTACTGTGATTTATATAATGTAAGTGCCCCTCAAAGTCAAAAATAAGAAACCCGTCAGTAGCCGACGTTCAGAATGATTAGAAACGTCAAATTGGGAGACTTGGGAATAAGGCCCCGTCCACACTATGCCGGATAAATTTGAATCCGAATTTTCAAACCGAAACCGAAAAAAAAGTTTTCCGCCCACACTAATACGCCGCTAGCCGGCGTTTTAAAATTGTTCCACTCTGGAGACCGTAATCGAAAAAAATCGTTTTCGGTTGTGTCCGTATTCTTTTTAGAACMAAGTACTTTTTGTTGTAAATTTCGAATTTTTAAAGAAGATTATTAGGGATAAATCTGATACCGAGTGCGTGACAAGCGTTACAAAGCATACAAAACGGCGTGACAAAGGCTGTTTTCGGTGCACTCGCACGTCAAGCGAAAGCATCACTGCTTCCCTGCCATGCAAGCGAAAAACACAAATAAAAACTCCACATTTTCGAGCATTATAAATCCAGGAAGACTATTGGATTTGAATTGAAGTTATTATGACTTTTCTACTTCATAGAAGATAAGAATTTCTGAAATATAAATGTATAAAATATATTTTAAGAACAGAACTACACTTTTGAGTTTAACATACATGTTTCGGCAGTGACCTCTGCCATCATCAGTGGATGTAAGACTAATTAGCGTGAGCTATAAATGTTAAACTCAAATAATGTTAAACTCAAAAGTGTAGTTCTGTTCTTAAAATGCTTAACTTCACTGATCACCTTTAGACCATTTGGTAACATTATAAAACATATAAATGTAATAAAATCATGATTCTCTTAGTTTGAAAACTCCAAAGTAAAAGAAAGATTTTAAAACTTTTTAATTACACACCTAGATATTAATAAATGGTTTTTTGTTCAATTTGATATGTGTTCCTTGTTTAAGTATTATGGGTTAAWTCTAGAGAAATGGTAATAAGCTTTATTATTGAAAAGGATTTGGTTTTGGTAGCGAGAACTGTGAATCTGCCATTTTTTCAAAACATGTGCCCTAAGAAAACTTTTGATTCTTTGTCAGTAACACTTGAATCTTAGCAAATTATCTTTTTAACAAGCCTTGATTACCGAAGTCCTTTTTTGCTTAATATCTTGTTGTAAATAAACGCATTGTTTAGTGCACCTTCGAGTAATAAATTTGGAATTCTTCGATGTAGATGCGCAGTATACGTGCGCGTGGACTGTAGTAGGCACTATCCTTAGAATCAAGGGGAGTCATATCATGCTTTTCCCAATCCCAAAAAGTGTAGGAAATGAAAAACCTTCAAATAATGGACTCCTGTCGCATGACTTTGCTTTCTAGATGTGGATGAGTGTCACTTGAATCAATGCACTGGTGTACATACAGTGTGTACTAATACCCTTGGAAGCTACTCATRCGCATGCGTAGAAGGCTGGCAAGGAGAAAAGTGTGACCAAGGTGAGTGATAAAAAAAAAAAAGAATTTAAAAAGTATTTAGAAAAGTAGCTAATATATTACAATATCCTATTTTTGCTGCACAACTAAAAAAACGTTAATCTAGTCATTTTGATTAAAGTAGCAGATGCAGTTTTTTATTGTAATTATCAACAGGTTTGAAATTGAAAATGTCAGTTTGTTTTCCAGATGTGGATGAGTGTCACTTGAACCAATGCACTGGCGTACATACAGCGTGTAATAATAGCATTGGAAGCTACTCCTGCGCATGCGCAGTTGGCTGGCAAGGACAAAAATGTGATCAAGGTAAATATGCCCAGTCCACACTAAGCCGGATAAATTTGAATCCGCAACTTTCACAACGAAACCGAAAAAAAAGTTTTTCGTCCACACATGAAAACGGATAAAATGTCTCGCGTCCACACTAGTCCRATCAGAGGCGGCAAAAACGCTTGATTGCACATCTGAGCATGTGTATCGAAGCTGAAATTGAGCCCGCGGTAAATTTTTAGCCTTCCCGCCATGTTGCCATGGCAATCATTACGTCATCGTATTCGAAAAATTTCGGATACGAAATGTTCTGCATCCACACTAATACGGCTAGCCGACGTTTTCAAACTGTTCCACTCTGGACACCGTATTCGAAAAAATTCGTTTTCGGTGAAGAATTGTTCCGGATTCGCCCGGACTAGTGTGGACGGTAAGCCTAACCGAATAAATAAAAATTCGGATTCAAATTTATCCGGCATAGTGTGGACGGGGCCTTATTATTCAAGTAACATAATCTGATCAAAGAATGTCGTATCTGATCTATGACAGTACTGGTTTCTTACAACCCTTATAAAGTATTTCGCATTGGTTCATTTGCATCAAATTTTAGGGGCCCTTTTATCTCAGGTGCAAAAAAAGAAGAAAAAAAACTTAGGGCCCAAGTTGAATGGCAGTTTTCAGTTTCAACAAAATTTCTAAAGGCTAATCATATCAGTGAATTTAAACTGGGGCTTAGTTTACTCGTTCATTCGTTCTGCGGTCTTCAATTTATTGGGCCCAGAATTATATCACGACAACATAATAAACTGTTTTTATCATCACATTGATGTCTATACTTCAAATGATGGACTCCTGTCGCATGGCTTTGTTTTCCAGATGTGGATGAGTGTCTCTTAATGCCATGTAGTGGTGTACATACAGTGTGTAACAATACCCTTGGAAACTACTCCTGCGCATGCGTAGAAGGCTGGCAAGGAGAACAATGCGATCAAGGTAATTAAATATTAGCATTCAAATAACATATCTGATCAAAGAATATCGATATCATATCTGATCTATGACAGTACTGGTTTCTTACAACCCATAAAGCATTTCGATTTGGTTCMTTTGCACTTTGAAATTTGAGGGGCACTTTTATCACAGATGCAAAAAAGAAAAAAAGAATAAGAACCAAAGTTGAATGGCAGGGCTTAGTAGCGGATGGGAAAGAAGGAAAGCCCATCATTGATCACTAAGGATATCAAATTTAACCAAACAGAATTCTAAGGTAAGGTTTATCAAATCAGTCGGTTTAAACTGGGGGCTTAGCCTACAAATATTCCTTCCTTCTGCGGTCTTTAATTTTTAACTACTTTTAAACATATTATTTCCGATGATCCTTCAAATGATGGACTCCTGTCGTATGGCTTTGTTTTCTAGATGTGAATGAGTGTCTCTTAAAACCATGTAGTGGGGTACATATAGTGTGTACCAATACCCTTGGAAACTACTCCTGCGCATGCGTACAAGGCTGGCATGGAAAAAACTGTGACCAAGGTGAGATATAGTATTTGTAAAAGTGTAGCTAACATATTACAATATCCTTTTTTTTYCCTGCAAGACTAAAAAAATTAATCTAGTTATTTTGATTAAGGTGGCAGGTGCGAAACATCTATTTGATGTTATAATCAAAAGGCTTGAAATTGAATATTTCCCTTTGTTTTCTAGATGTGGATGAGTGTCACTTGAATCAATGCATTGGTGTACATACAGTGTGTAATAATACCCTTGGAAGCTACTCATGCGCATGCGTAGAAGGCTGGCAAGGAGAAAAGTGTGACCAAGGCGAGTGATTTAAAAAAGAATAGTATTTAAAAAGTATTTAGAAAAGAGTAGCTTATATACTAGAATATTCAGTTTTTGCTGCGGATTAAGTAGCAGGTGTAAGACAGTTATTTGCTGTTTGTATAAACAGGTTTATGAACAATTGAAAATTTCACCCTGTTTTACTAGATGTGGATGAGTGTCAATTGATTCAATGCACTGGTGTACATACAGCGTGTACTAATGCCATTGGAAACTACTCCTGCGCATGCGCAGTTGGCTGGCAAGGGGAAAATTGCGATCAAGGTAAATATTGGTATTATTGATATAACATATTATTATTACTTATATAACATATCTAGATGTCTTATTCATTTTTGCACCATTTTTATTTATGTAAAACGTAACCGGATGTAAACTCTAATGTAATTTCTTAATGACCAGAGCTTATCCTACGTTCTAAATGAGAACAGCTAGCGCTAAAGGTAGTACTAGAGGCTATTGTAGCTGTTTCCATAGTAATCAGCGTATTCAGCAATTATTTGATTGACAAGAGATTAACTTAATCTCTTAGCGTTCTACCCTTTTAATTCAGTATAGTGTAACACTCGTTTGAAGTAAGACGAACTTTCGGGATTAATATCTTTATGTAATTGTTTTAACTGACCCGCCAACGTTGGTAAGTCCTCAACCTTATTGTATTTCTTTTAATCTGTAGCACAACTGATTACTTTGTTGTGTATTTCACCTTGTGAATCATTTTCCCATAAGTAACAACAATTGTAAACAGAGCAATAGGCTAACTATAGATAATCCTTATTTTAGTTGACCAGATCATTACCAGATTCAATAGTGCAAGAATAAAAAGGATTTRCGTACTCAACTATGGCAGTGGTTTCTTTTTGATACGATATTATTGAGAAATCCCGTACAGCTATTGTTATCCCTTTTTTTTCAAAATATGAATCAGAAGTTATTCAAACCAAAATTGACCAAAGTTCGACCTGCTGCTGTACGCAGTTATCGAGATATTAGTATTTAAATTTCCGTAACCAAGTAAATTTTAGTTCGAAAACTGGGAGTTCCACTGCAGGTAATGCTGTTTTCTACTTCTAATAAATGTCAGAATTAACACCGTGAACGAACCTAAAATGCATATCTGTACATCGTCATTATTCAAGATTCACTTTTATTTCGCTAAATATCATTGTATATTTTTCGCTTTATTTTAGATATAGACGAGTGTTTCCTAAACCAATGTCGAGGCTATGCAGTATGCAATAATACTATTGGAAATTATTCGTGCGCATGCGTAAAAGGCTGGCAAGGAGAAAACTGCGATCAAGGTATTTATGCAATCATGATTTTAAAAACACAGCTTTTTTCGTATCTCCTTCAGTAATACAGTAATTGTCTCACATATAAAGGAAATCGCATTTTAGCTTTAAGGTGGCTGACTACTTTGGTAAATGATAAATCGAAAATTGAAAATCGAAACTTTTTGAACCTGAAATTGAGCACAAAACAAACAATTTTTTACATTGTTCTAATAAACTGAATTGTCTTAAACTTTGAAAAATAATGGGATATTATCTGTTAGCATATACGAACTTGTGTACTTCCTAAGAACGCGCGCGCTCATTGGTTAATTGGAGGTGAATATTGTACGATATATGGCCTAAAAGTTTTGCTAAAAGTTTTGCGAGAATTTGTCACGCAAACTAAAAGTTTCTGTTTGTTTGTTTTTATTGAATTATTGTATATARAAATAAGTTACTTTGTATACAAGTTGGTATATGCTAAAACAATTATTCGCCTCAGGCTCAGTGAATATGGAGAATATTTACCTCGCTGCTCGAAGACTCGCGTCTCGGTAAATATTCCCCGATATTCACTTCGCTTTCGACGAATAATTGCTAATTATTCAAGGAAATAACAAAAAAATATAGTCCCGTGCAAAATTTGAGGGTATTGCCCTCCTGAAGTTCAAAACGTGTATAGTTCTTCAATAAAATCTTGAAGATCATTCAGCGGTTTTTAAGCGCGCACACATCATGGGCTCAAATCGAACGTTCAAAAGTAGTCAGCTACCTTAAATGCTGTTTTCTTACACTAATTCAGTTTGCGATKAAGGCTGCGTACGCTCGGATTTAATAAGCACCGAGCTCTGTTCATTTTGACAGCACAGTGTTCGACCAAACAGAGCGTGAGTAGAGAGGTGACTATATAATAACTATTATATAACTATAAACTCATTGTGGATATCAAAAGTTGTTACCGGAAAAGTATTATTTAGTAATGACTTGACCTTACTAAATAAATGTTGAAAATTATTTCTTCTTTTAGATGTTGACGAGTGTCTAACTAACCCGTGCTTGAATGAAGGAACGTGCGTTAATGTTGATGGAAACTATATCTGTTCTTGTAAAGGAAGCTGGAAAGGACGGCACTGTGATCAACAAGGTTCGATAACATTCGTTCTTGCTACCCATACATGCACCTATTTCAATAAGGCGATAGGCAATAGGCGATAAGGGAAAAGCAATATGCAGATAGGTCATTATATAGATATCCAAGAATAGATGGACTGACTTGTGTTTCTGCTTCTTATTCTCATTAAAAAAAACATGGGCCTTTGTTCTTTGTATTCAAGGAAACCATTTCCATGTCGGAATGACCTATCGCCTATCGCCTTTGGCGATGACAACGTATATATTGAAATAGGTGTATACACCTACCACTGTATCATGCGATAGCAAACAACAGCAGAAACAACAACAATAACAACACAACACAACAAAAGCTAAACTAAGCCAAGGGTTAAAAAGTGTCATTAGTTAGTTTTCTCCCTTGCCTGAACAACAGCAACAACAACAACCATGCACTTACTGTGCAGATACTCCACTGGGACCACTTAGATAAAATCAATAACCAATCATATTGCGACATTTAGTTCAATATTTTTAACCAGCCAACCACATAGCGCATCGGCATGTAATAAAAGCGCGAGAACGAGATAATCTGATTGGCTATCGCTGTTATCAGTTCAATTTCTATCTAGTTTACTATTATGTGTTTGAACAGTTTTATTGAAGTGTTCCCGGTTAGTGTGTCTGCACAGTTAATTGTCCCAAAACACAGCGACGTTTAGCTATTCACCATTTTCCATACATCGGTTCACTGGTCAAATACAAAGCATTCAGTCGAGGTTGCAAGGTTCAAATTTGGAAAATGGTGAATAAGCATAACGAATCAAATTATGGATTTTTGATGCATTTAAGAAGTTAAAATTCGTAGTAGAATCCAAACAAAACGAAAATATTAATATGAACGACAGAATGATCTACGAAAACTAGTAATATGTACTTATTGACTGCGCTCGGTCCGTACAAATGAGTGAGAGCCAAATATTTTCCCGTACGGCCCGACCTAACTCAGTCAATAAGCATTTTATCATATGACCCTCACGAAAAGAAAAAGAAAAGAAAGAAAATACGGTCGCATGCTTCAAGCAGGGCCGTACGGCCCTGCTCACGCAATTTTCCCGAAGGTTTTTTAAGAGCACGCACCCGGGCAGATACGGGGCATATGATAAGTCTGATAAGTCTCGTATCACATGTTTTTTGGCTCAATGCCAAAAATTCCTCCACAACGTAACCAACACTAAATTCCAAATTAATAGATCATTGAGTTATAGCCGCGACCTGATCAGCCAGCCTAGAGGTTGTTCAGAGTTTCGATATAATTAATTTTTGTTTATTCCATCCCTAGAACTAGAAAGCAGGGCAAACAAACTTGCCGATACTCAAGTCTATCTTACTTCCCTGCCTTTTGTCATCTCTGTTTTTGGAATTGCAATCTTAATTGTTTGGAGAAAATACCGAAAAATGAGAGACCCGAAATCAGGTGATCAACTGGGAGACGACAACAAGAAAGCGCTGTCTCTGGATGATTTTCCAGAAGAATTGGTACATCAAGAATATGGAGGTTTCTTACCCGCAGACCCATGGAATAGCGATGAAGGATTAGAAAATTCGTACTTTGCGGGTCGTTATTTAGGATATGCTCCGATTGACCAAACAGCTAGTGATGACGACTTTTCAATGGATTCATTTACTGAAGATATAGTGCTATGGGACAGACAGAGCCTAGAACGAATGCAGGGGAATATGTATCAAACGGCTGAAGATCCAGAAATGGAAGATGAAACCCAAAATGCAGGTGCGTCTCGTACTGGCATGCAAATACCGTTGGAACACGAAGAGGAAAGCGGGAGTCTAGAAGCAATCAACCAACAGGAAAGAACAATAGGCGATACGATGTCTGAAGACGAAACACTTGCTGGTTCTTTTGTTTTGGGGAAAGTTCGTGTACTCGAAGCAGCCTTCGAGAAACGCGGTTTGAAGAGAGATTGAAAAAAAAATTGATATGATATTTACTAAATTTTAAAAACTTATTTCAAAGTCATGCTTCACTATTTTTTAGTCATTCTGTCATTACGATTCCTTGATGAATTAGCAATACGGATTTATATTGTTTATTCACTCAAAATGCTTGTTACTTTTAGGTCTGTTTTTTAAATTATACCAAAACAAAAAACTGTTGGGCTTTGCAAAGCCATTTACTGTTTTAATTAAAGTTAGACTTTGTATATCTCTGCACTGTTTTGCCGAAATAGGCAGAAGATTTTAAAAAATTTTCTCTGGAGATAAAATGCTAACTTAATCTCCTTTAGTTACTAACGAAAATAAGAAAATAAAAACAAAGAAATAAATTTGTAAACGATTTTGAGCTGTTAGGATTACAAACAGATGAGAAAGGCTGCGAATGGGCGCAATATTGACAAGCTTAAGGAACATCATCGCTCTCACCACTTTTYCTACACTTTGCATATCATTCATTATTGATAAAGATGTTGATAATGTGCAAGTCTATAAGCCTGAAGCGAGATGACATTTTACCCCCGACTCTATACCATAATAGTTTTTAAAATTCTTTCATATTAAACTTTTTGATTCCTTAGAGAATACAGGAACAATAGTCATAATTAAAGAACAAAAGCAGTATGAAAAGGATTATGGTCTAGAGACGGGGGTAAAACGTCATCTCGCTTCGGGCTTATTGCACACTAGGTTCAAATAATTAGGGTAGACTAACTGTTTCTTTTACGTCATCGAAATTTATTATCCAAGAATTACAAATTTCAGTTGATTAACGAAATAGAACAAAAACTACATAGGTATACCTGATTATATAGATTATTCACCATTTTCCATACATCGGTTCGCTGGTCAAACACAAAGCATTCAGTCGAGGTTTCAGGGTTCAAATTTGAATAATCTTTTGAAAGTACCTTGGCGCCTCGCTTGAGCGCTTCGTGTTTGACCAGTGAAGCGATGTATGGAAAATGGTGAATTCTTCGATTGCACGTTACGTCATCGCGGCCATGTTGGTGCCACATAACAAAAGATTTCTCATTAGCATCTATTGTTAACGGCACCACAATGGCCGCCATGCTTTTGTCTTTTAACTCTYTTGGGAATGCTTGCAATCCGTCAATAGTTGTTTGCTCCATTAAGCGGTTTAGACTTAGTTTACAAAATTATTTCAGTAGCACGCGATGATTGTTGCCTCTTGTCCTTAATTATCAACGAAAACATATAATCATTTGTAATTTTGGGATAGAAAATCCTATTCTTCGTTTCCACATCACGTCATAGTCGCCATGTTGGATGAATTTAACAAAAGAATTGTCAATGAATTATTTTGTTGTATCATCCAACATGGCCGCCGTGTCTTTTGTTATTTCACTCCCTTGGGAATGATTGAAAACCAGCAATAGCGCAGCGCACTGATTCTAAAAATAGCTTAAAGATTCGGACAAACATTGCATTCTGTTTAACCGCTACGAGGAATATACGAAACGATTTTATCATTTTTACTTAAAGTTACGATAATAACCCATGTAAACTAAGATCAACTTCGATCGGCTGTGAAAATTATCTGCTGAAAGTAAACTTGTAAGTTTGTTTGTCCGAATTTCGCCTTTGTCTTCGTTTTTATGACGTCACGGTTGCGCTGCGCTATTGGAAAAGAACATATTTCAAACCTTAGAGAACGTGCCGAAGTGAATTGTCTTAAGATAATCTATAATCCCCCTTTCGTGGCAGTTTCCACTCATCAATATTCTTTTTTATTGCCTCMATGGCTCAACAAATTATTTATTACAAATTTAAAATCTAAATGAAATGACCAATGGAAATTATTACTTGATGATAAATACCACTTTCAATAATGAAATGTCGAAAAATGATGGAAAAGATCAGGAAATATCTTTAGTCGTTAAAAGAGGTATTATTCAGTTATGAAGGGTACTTGGCTTTCTGAAGTAAGCCAAACATTAGCTGTTTTAAATTTACACAACTACAACTTGCAATCGTTGGTTACATCGCATTTCTTTTACAATTATGATCATTTATCATAGTCTTATTTTAAGAAGAATATATCAAAAGCTTTCTAGTTTTGGTTTCCAGTCAAACCACGTCAAGCGTGAGACTATTTTTGGATTCTTAATTTCATATTCGAATCGAACATTCATTATTGGAAACGAATCTTCAATATTCAAAAAATAATAATAGTTTGAAAAATCGATTCAACTCGTATGCTCTTGCTCATAGCGGAAACAGAAGAAGTCATTAATATTACATATTCCTTGCACAAAAAGTAGCTCTTGCATTTTAGCTGCATATATGCTTGGCTCTCGTATATGCCAGGCTTTGAAGAATAGTTTCCAATAATGAATGTTCGAATCGAATAATGAAATCAAGAATCCAAAGGTAGAGACATTAATGACCTCTACGTGTTCGCGCTTGAGGTTTTAGTTTACCGGACTGTAAAGCGGTGGTAGGATGCGGCAAAGTTTCCCACTCATCAATCTATTTTGTCAATCTATGACTCACGAATCATTTATTACGAATTAAGAATCCAAATGAAATGACCAGTAGAAATTATCACCTTGATTATAAATACCTCTTTCAATAATGAAATGTCGAAGGAAACAAATRATGCAAAAGATTAGAAAATATTTATAGTCGGCAAATTCTCATTTTCTTAGCTGTTTTGGCCGGTCTCTTTTCATTCGCCAGTGTTTGGAAAATTCTAGAAATTGTTGACAGAATAATGACAAACTGGTTTTCATTCAGTTTAGCATATACAGAAGAGCTTTTGTTTGTTTTCAATATTGCAGCTGTACAAAGTCGTTCCTGCTTTCCTAGACGACTTGAACTGTAGTGGACATCGGTAGCGTTGTGCTCAGTCAAATTAACAGTTCTTCAAATATTGACTAAAAAAAATATTCATGGGATGGTGAACATTAATAACAAATAGTTTTGGCCGGATTTTAATCAGGTTTTACATTTAATTGCTCATTCAGGACATGCAGTTCTAACTAGTTTTTATACACTATGGATAAATCTTCTGCCATTAGACTTTTGCAGTTTCTCACCTTATGGATACAGTTCACTAGTGAGTACAGGCTTGACATTCCTTTTCATTTTTACTTGTCTTCATAATCGAAGGTAAACTCAAAACCAGAATTCTGTTTTTGAAAATAACTCTTTAGCCTTAATTTTTAGCTTTAAATTAGCTGTTTTAAATTTCCCATCACCTACAACTTGTTGGTAGAATTTTACAATTATGATCATTTATTATATTATTTACTATAGTCTTATTTAACGAACTATTTATTATAGTCTTATTTAACGAACAAAATATCAATAGCTTTCTCGTTTTGGTTTAAAGTGGTCGTAGGATGCGGCAAAGTGATGAAATTTGACCTCACAATCCAAGGAAAAGCATTAAGAAAYCACGTTTCTAGTAGTGATTTTGCTACGGACGAATCTCACTGTAAAGTTAAGTGTTTCTTGGATAGTCGCTGTATCTCGTACAATTTTGGTAGCGGCGCCGATGGACAAGGGTACGTGTGCGAGCTGAGTCACTCAGACCACATCATGCATCCTGATGACCTGGTCAACAGAACCAATACAATCTACGTCAGGGCACAGGTAAAATTCGTACATGTTTTCATCTTTTTAGACTAGATCGATGAATTATTTTGAATTTGGGTTGCTATCAAAAAATACTGTGAAAACATGCTTATGATAATGAAAATGTTTTAGGTTTTGGAGAATCAAGTTGTCGTAGACGCTGTTATATAATCAATTATATGATGATGAAATTCGAAGTTGTTTGTCAGTTTTTGAGGCTGTTGTTCATTACTTGTCAGTAGTGCCGGATGTTGTTGATGATGATGAAATATTTTGAGGTTTCGTGAATCAAGTTGTCGTAAATGCAGTTGTTTGTGGGAAGTTGTCGTTCATATGGTGATGCCAGTGTTTTTGAGGTTTCGTGAATCAAGTTGTTGTAAATGCAGTTGTTCGTGGCAAGTTGTTGTTAATATGATGATGAAGTGTTTTTGAGACTTTATGAATCCAGTTGTTCTAGATGCAGTTGTTTGTGGGAAGTTGTCGTTTATATGGCGATGAAGTGTTTTTGAGGTTTTGTGAATCAATTGTTCTAGATGCAGTTGTTTGTGGGAAGTAAGGTTGTTGATGGTGATGATGATGCTGTCGAATGAAGATATAATGTAGATTCTTTTTTGCAAGTCTGATTTTGAAGTTGTTTTTTTTTTTTGTTTTTGTTTTTGTTTTTGTTTTTGTTTTTGTTATTGAGGTAGTTGTTGCAGATTTAGTTCAGTGACTAAAAATATTTGTTAAGGTCATGCGGATGTTATTGATAATGGTGACGTTAAGTTGTTTGTTGTAGTAAGTTTTGTGAATGAAACTAGAAGATGTGGTCGATGATAAAGCTGTGAACAGACTTCCTGATTTTCGGTTCATCATTTAACAGCAAGTTAAAGAAGCTATGCTAAAAAAGGCAGAATTGCTATTAAATCTTAGAAATTAGATATGAAAAATTTTATCTGTTTTCCGCACCTGCTCAATTTGATGTCCCAATAACATCACATGAAAGTTGGGACCCATTAAATAGACCTTTTCGGCTTGGGGTAATGTTTTCCCATTTCAGACCACGTGTCATTCCCTTGAGAATAAGATTCTTTGTTTGAGCTGTATCTATCAAGTTCATGTGTCTTCTCACGTGTGCAACCGAGCGCAAACCTTAAACAAAGAAATGATCATGACACTCTAGGGAATAAAATGTGGTCTGAATTAATGGGAAAACATTACGTCAGAGCCGAAGAGGTCTATTGTATATTGTCTATATAGTTTGCGTCGGAAAAATTCACTATTTCTCTCATTCCATTTACACTCACTTGCGATTTTCAAAAGTAATCATTTTACTTTGAGGATGATATAACAGTCTTTTGCCAAATATTTACATGAGAAGAGTTTTCTCGAAGATTCTTTGATTTAATTGTTTACACAGAAGGGAGCAATATCTTACCAAGTTAATAGAATCTTTACTAGAATACTAATCATTTAGTATTTGACTAAAAGGCTTTATTTTTGTGCTTGGACGCAAAGCTTTGTCAGTATCAGTTGATTACAATTCTTTCACTGAGCACTGACTTATACCTATTAGTATTATATGTACCACCAGTTTTTTTCATCTTTTTAGTCGACCGTGCTTCAGTCAATTAAGAAACTTCTAGAAAACTTGAAAATTAATATTAGAAAGTTTTAATAAATCATGCAGTGCATTGATTGTATTTACCTTAGGTATAGGTAACTACTAAGGCAAAAAATCTTATGGATTCGAACCGGAGAGCGGTTTTGAATTAAAATTTATCATATAGATTTGATGAAATATCAGGTTTTCGTTCTCTAGTGTCGAAAACTTGATATCTTTCACCAGTGGAAGATACCATATCTTTCACTCGTGAAGATATCGCTGTTGAATCGGCTTGCTATTTTAATAAAGAATTTTTGAGCTTTTGTTTTATTTAAGTTTCATCAATATCTATATAATAAACAAAACATTACATGGCCGCTTGGAGATACGAATTTTATCTTCTCGTGTTCAATTTAGATATGATCTCACTCGAAGATAAAATCCGTATCTCCGCGCGTCCATATAATATTCTCAATATATCATATAAAGGTATATTTGCTGTTAGGCCTTTGGAGAAAACCTTATCGGGGTTGTTTTTTCTCATCTTTTAGAATTCTTGCAATTGCAGTCAGAACATGATTTGCAGGTTTGACTTCGTAGATAACACACACCAATGCGACTGCTTTCCAGGTTTCACTGGATCCGACTGTAAAACAGGTGAGCTTTATGACGTATTTTATAATGGCGTTGTCTGAAATTTTCCAGTGATTATTTGTCTAAATCAAAGAGCACTTCGGAATAGATCTTCAATATTACATTGTAATTATTTGTTTTCTGACAAACAGACAAAAATCTTAACGCCCGCAATCAACGAAAGTCACAACTGCATTTTTCATTTTCCAGTTGAATGTTTTATCATAATGAAATATAGGATTTTTTGTTGGTTTGATTCAATGTTTATTCTCATTTATATCAATTTCTTGTGATTTTTTTCCTTACATTTATTTCTACCCTATACTTTTCCTGGTCCTCATTCTCTTCTCGTGACGTGACGTSACGTATGTAATTTTCTAATCGTTCTTTCATTTCGTCCAGACATCTATGAATGTGCTTCTAATCCTTGTCAAAATGGAGGTTCGTGTCAAGATCAAGTCAACGGCTACGTCTGYACATGCGTTACTGGCTTCACAGGAACAATATGCGAGACAAGTAAGATAAACCAATCGATCTCTAACTATAGATATTAGCTATTTCTAGACAAATGACTGAAAAATTTCTGAAAAGGCGAAAATGCATCCGTGGTGATAAAGAAAGATTTAATAGAGGCCAAATCTTACATTAACATAAGTTATGCATTTAGATGGGATAGTGTGAAGTCCGACGTTTGATCACTTGTTTGAGTCGATCTACAGTCGTTCTTCCCGACTGATCTAATCTGACTTAATCGATCCAAATTTAATCGATCRAACTTAATTTGGTCAAACGTCGAACATTAAATGAACCTATTTCGTCCAAAGAGGTACAACTCATAAGAAGTTCGACGTTAACCTTACCCTTAGCCTTTTGTCCCTTCTTTGTCAGATATCGATGACTGTGCAATCAACCGTTGTCAGAACAATGGAACATGTATTGATTTGATCAACGACTACAACTGCTCTTGTATTTATCCTTACTCGGGAAGAAACTGCATGACCAGAAAAGGTAAGGAATCATGCAGCTATGTAGCTTAACACGTCCCTTAGTTACCGTTGCTATGGCTGCAATGCTACCGCAGAATGAGAAAAAGTACCGGAGTCGGGGGCAAAAGACCGGAGATAAGAAAATACCGTAGAGAAGACAAAACACCGTCATTAGCAAAATACCGAAAATAAGCACCGCACAGAGTACCCTAAAAATTAATATTTGAGTGTTTTAAAATGATAGGTTGGACTGAATGTATAATCAAGAGCGGTGAGGATTGCATTGGCTCGAAGGATGATAAATACGCTACCTTTGAATGCCATAAGGGACACGTGATCGCCTTCAAACTTATCTATGTATCTGGAGACGGACTGTCTTATACCGGACAAAAAAACGATAGAGGCTATTGGGGTGGAACAAACGCAGGAAAGAGCAGTCTACAAATTCATATAACAGAGGATAAAGAAGAAAATGGCAGAGTTGCGCCCCCTTCAAACTTAATTGCACTTGACACTATTTTAAGGATAGGGATAATGGCGTATAGCTTACCTGGTGTTACTAACATGGATCCTGAACTTGTGTTCCCTGATTTTGTCCCTGCAATGCCTTTGGATAAGGATACTAAATTCAGAATTTGGTTTGGGTCAGATTTGTCAAGCATAGGCGAGAAAAATAACATAGGACAAACGTGTGTAAGAGTCGAAGTTTTGTATGAATAGAGTAGCATTTGCGTATGAGTGGGAACCATACACGGTACGACAACGTAATACTGAAAAGCAGTCCCATTCGCCACTCTAAAAACATCGGTTATTCACTGGTCAAACACAAAGCATTCAATCGAGGATGCAAAATTTGGAACTTCCTTGAAGCTTCTATAGAAAGCTTTCAATTTGACAAGTGAACCGATGTATGAAAATTGTCTTTCAATAATTCAACCAATAGAGGTTTTGCACCATCACGTGACGGCAGCCATGCCGGTTAGATGGCAGGAACAATGCAATCGTTTTACATGAGAAAGAATTCAATTCCTAAGAGCAAAGGGATTTTATTGTTCTGCATCTAAAATACAGGCAGCCCAAGGCTCTATTATGGGCACACCGCTATGTGATGGTGTAAAACCTATATTGCAGTGAATAGTTACGGATACCATAAGATAGTGTTGGGCTAAAGTACAGCTTTGAATTTACTGTAACGTTTTACCTCATACGAAAATATGCGCATCACTTATGAAAGACCTTATGAAAAAAGGTGTGTCCATTGTGATACCTTAGTTCGTCAGTTATAGAAGACAATAATGCTTTCATTGTATATTTCAACTGTATATCGAAATTACTGATCTTCAAAATTACCTAATATTATTAACCAATCATATTGCGAAACAATTTATATAGTGAAATTACTTGTTAATGCACAATTACTGATATTATGGTACTTTGTATGCTGTTTTCCTAACATTTCGATAAACCTTCAAACCTTCAAATGTTTTCCATACCCTGAAATAGCATGTGAGGTGTTCAAAGTCAGGGCACCGCTAACTCACAGATCGAACTCTAAAACAACCTCTGGGCTGATTAAAGTCAGGGCACCGCTAACTCACAGATCGAACCCTGAAACAACCTCTGGGCTGATTATAGTCAGGGCACGGCTAACTCACAGATTGAACCCTGAAACAACCTCTGGGCT